AAAAAAAAAAAAGAGAATTGCTTGAGCCCAAGAGTTTGAGGTTGCTGTGAGCTGTGATGCTACGGCTCTCTTGCCACAAAGTGAGACTCTTGTCTCAAACAAAACAAAACAAAACTACCAGTCTCTCTGAATGAATAAATCTCTCCCCTCTGCCCACTAACCAGATAAAGAAAATGGAAAATATGTCTGGGCACGGTAGCTCACGCCTGTACCTGTAATCCTAACACTCTGGGAGGCCGAGACAGGCAGATTGAGTTTGAGACCAGCCTGAGCAAAAACAAAACCCCCTCTCTAAAAATAGCTGGGTATTGTGGCAGGCACCTGTAGTTCCAGCTACTCAGGAGGCTGAGACAAGAGGGTCGCTTGAGCCCAAGAGTTTGAGGTTGCTGTGACCTATGACACCATAGGACTTTACTGAGAGCAACAAAGTGAGAGTTTGTCTCAAAAGAAAAAAAAAGAAAGAAAGAAAATGGAAAACAAGGCACAAAAGAAATGAAGGAGTCTATTTCTGTTGTGAAATCAGTGAAGGACAGGGATGTTCAGAGTCCCAGGCAGGCTGGTCTGGTGTTAGAATATTCCTCCCTATTGACAGATGATCATTTCCTCTGGACTTCTGTTTTCTTGGCCCAGACTAGGGCCTTTTTTTTTTTTTTAATGGGACCTCAGTATGTTGCCTAGGACTTGAACTCTTGGGCTGAGTAGTCCTCCTACCTTCTTCTCCTAAATAGCTGGGACTATAAGGCATGTGTCTGCACTGTGCCCAGCCAGGCTAGGTCTTTAAATGTCAAAGAGGCAGACAAGATCCACCTATGCATGTGGCTCATTCCACAGTGGTACACAGTGGAATCATCGCATTCTGGGAGGCTGAGCAGGGGGAATTGCTTGAGCTCAGAAGTTTGAGACCAGCCTGGGCAAGAGTGAGACACTGTCTCTACTAAAAATAGAAAAATTAGCCAGGTGTTGTGGTGGGCACCTGTGGTTCCAGCTTCTCAGTAGGCTCAAGCAAGAAGATCGTTTGAACCCAGGAGTTTGAGATTTCAGTGAGCTAGGCTGACTCCACGGCATTCTAGCCTGGGGCAACAAAGTGAGACTCTGGCTCAAACAAACAAACATGTCCATTTCTAGTTTTAGCATAATATCTAGGAAAAGTTAAAAGGATGTGAACAAACCCATATTTACTTGACCGTGTCATGATATATACAGCATAGTTGAAAGAACACAGTCATAGAAGTCTCATGTACATGGGGTTAAAATTATGCCCTCGTATTGTGTACACTTGTATAAGATACTTAATCCTTCTAACTATATTTTCTTATCTGGAAAATGAAGGTATATATACTTCAGACTATTGCTCTGAAAATTAATAAAGGGATATATAAAAAGCTCTTGATATAGTCCCTGGCATATAAAAGTGCTCAATCAGTGGTAACTTACTATTAATAATAGATGTACATTGTTTTTCAAAAAATGTTTGCTGTATAAAAATTATTGTGTATTGGTGGATTTCAATGTTTTATTGTTGCAAAATGATATTTGGTATCAAGGTCCTTCCAGTAGTGTTGAAGTTTTTTTTACTGGTGCCGTGGGAGGTCTGGTTAGCAAAGGATGATAAGCAAAAGCACTACCTTCTACTTGGTGACGTAGTTACTCTGTAGGAGAAATGTGAATCTTGTAATTATTTTTGGAGAAGTATATATGTCAAGGTTTTGATCCTAACATGGTTTCCATGAGTTGTATTGTATATACTTATTCCGGATATAGCGACCAGTACATCTGAGAAGTAAGGGGGTCACATGAATGTATTTTTCATTAAAATAAATATTTTTCCCCTCCCTCCCCAGCTGCTCAGATAAAGAACTTGATGAGCCAACTAGGAACTAAGCAGGACTCAAGCAAGCTACAGGAAAATCTGTGAGTATCTTCCTAAGAGGGTTGAGTTTTGTGAGTGACCTTTGAGGACATACTTGACTTCCCTGCTACATGGCAGCTTAGGTTTTAGGTCTGTGAAGTCAGAATGAGAGGCAGTGGGTCATGAGGTAATAGCTGTACCTACAAGAGGGGAAACAAAGTGTACTAATGATTGTGATCTCTATTGCCTGTCAAAGTTCTTGAGCACTGGTTCTTTCTTCCCTTGGGCAGTTTAGCAGAGCAATTGAGGGAAGTAGAGAAGGGAACTCCTACAATTCTTAAATTATATTCAGCTCACAACTCTGCCTAGATGAGCCTCCTCTTTGGCATAGGACTCCTGATGCTCTAGTCTAACTGGAGTTCCAGCCATAGTTGGCCTTCCATATTCATGGGCTCTATATCTGTGGATTCAACCAACCCCAGGTCAAAAATATTCTGAAAAAAAGAACTGTGCATCACTATTAAAAATGTACAGATTTTTTCTTGTCATTATTCCCTAAAAAGATAAAACAACTATTTACATAGCCTTTATATTGCCAACCTTCCTTCCTTTTTTTTTTTTTTGGTATTATAGGTAACCTAAAGGTGGTTCAAAGGATGTATATAGGTTTTATGTAACTTCTATACCATTTTATATCAAGAGCTTGAGTATGCACAGATTTGCTATCTCCCAGAGGTCCTGTTAGTAATCTCCTACAGATACTGAGGGAGTGCTGTATGTACGTGTGTAATATAATATTGGGGAATATATTCAGAGGGACTCAAGGACAGCCTGAGGGACATAATAGTGGACTGATAGTAGGGACTCATTTATTTTATTTTATTTTTTTATTGAATGGTAACTATATACATTAATGCACTTCTGGGGTACAGTGTGGGGTTTTCACATGCAATCTGAAATACTTCCATCAATCATTTATTTTTTTTTAAGCTACAGGACAGAGTTTACTAACATGGAGAAAGATTGATATGCATGATAAGCAAGAGTAGAAAGCAAAAAAAGAGAGAACAGAACCTTTAGCAGCACAAGGGGCTTACAAGTGGGAAGGCCCATTTTTCTTTTTCAAAGACTGAGTCTCACTCT